ATTTCAAATTGTTTTGTTTTCAATTTTATTGTCAAAATTGAAAAAAGAGCTTTTTATGAGTTTTATAATATAATTAAAATTAAATAAAAGTTGCGGATTGCTTCAACACTACACAGGGTGCATAACTGTGGAGTTCTGATCTCTGCCAAGAAATGTTAAGCGAGATGCTACATTTCCACATAGTGCATCCTATGTAATGCTAAAGTCCGTAACTTTTATTTAATTATATTATAAAACTCATTAGATCATCTCTTCTTTCAATTTTGACAAAAAATTCAAAAGCAAAGCAATTTCAAATTTCAACATAAAAATGATGATATCGCATTTTTCAGCCTACGTTCATGTTGATTTTCTTTCTTGTTTTTGTTCCCTATTCATCTCTCGAATGATTGATCTCAACTTATGCAACACCCTATTTACATTGTTCCTTTCATAAATCTCAAGAAGATATTTTTTAATGAAGTACGTGATTTATGCGAGACATTTTGGAAGAAATGAAAAATTCAGCCGTGTAACTCGATAGCGAATGACTAAAGGATGAATTTTTCCGTGTAAAACTCTCAATATTAAAAGCACAATTAATTTTATGTCTTTCTCGTAAAAGGTACGTTTTATAAGACATTCTAAAAAAACTGAAAAGATTTCGAGAGATTGAGAGAAGAGTAACGCAAAAGTTAAAACGGACACCTCCGTATCCTTGTACAATTCCTGTCGGAATTGAATTACATCGTGGGTGGAAAAAAACTCGGAAAGGTAATTAACGAGGCGGCAGTTAGCTATTCACGAGTCCGCAGTTTCGACGTGGTTCTCGGTGTCCATAGACGAGCTTAATGAGAGAGAATGACCGGGAAAGAGGAGGGACGAGGGGAGATTTTCAGCGTGAGATGAAAAGCAGGACGGAGGGAGGGGAGAGAGAGGGAATAGAGAGAAAACAATAGAGAGAATACACGAAATCCAATCATTGTGCCGGAAAATTACTTTCGAGCGTTCTTAATTTACACGAACGACGCGAGGGAGATATAATTTCCTTTGGATTTTTCTGCACCTAAGAACAAGAGTGCAACACAACTTGTTCTGTTGACGCAAAAGGGCGAATTTATTATAACATCAAAATGTCAAAATCAAGAAACGAGATAAAATCAAAAAGGAAAATATTTGAAAATGTATGTTTGCCCCGAGAAATTCACGGCTCCGATCGTTACGTCTCTTCCAATACGTACGTAAGTGTAAAATTACACCATTCTCGTACCGGTCGAGTAATATTACTAAAAGGATGGAGTTTATGCACCCCCGGGTTAAAACAACATCGGCTTTCGAGCGGGAAAAATCCACGGAAGTCATTTCTCCCCTTTCCGCCGAACGCCGTCGGCATTTCCCTCGTGGCACGAATCTCTTTCTTTCTTCCCTCCCCTTCTCCTCCGCTTATTTATTTCCCCTTCCCATTCTCCTTTTCGTTCTTTTTACTCGTCCCTCGTTAATCTCTCTTTTGCAGGTTCGAGGCTTGAGGCCGATGGAAAAGCCGGGAAGTAACGAAAAGGGGGATTAACTAGGCATCTGAAGGCGTCGAGGGAGAAAAATATTGACGGAGAACTAGAAAAGAGAGATGAGATAGACCGAGACAGACGCGAGACAGAGAGGATATATGGGAAAGGAGAAAAATTGCAACGGAAGTTGATCGGCGATCGTTAGCCGAGCTATCTATTCGGACGAACGAGAAGGGCGAGTTTAATAACGATACATCGCTACGGCTAAAGGTTTCCTACGCCCGGATAAATTAATAAAAATGTAAGGGGGCGAGAGGGTGCGCGCGCGACAAGGCTCGCCCGTGTGGCGGAAGAGAAAACTCTCTTCCGCAACTTGAAATCGTATCGATCGGCGAAGGCTCGTTCCTCTGTTTTTTTTCCTCTCGCAGACTCCGTTCTTTTGTATTCAGAGCATCGAGCCGTGAAGTTGTATACGTGTCGACGAACTTTCCTACGTTCTGTAAAAGCAAAAATACATCTCGGAAACGGTACCGCCTCGCGTAGCACGTAGTCGAGATTCCCGATGATTCTGAGATTTCTTCGGTTCGATCTTTAATTATTCCAAAAAAGCATTTTGAAGACTCGCCAACTTCGCGAATTCAGTAAATTAAATACTAAGGTCAAGAAATCGGTAAGATTTTATTAAGAATTTATATTTAACAATCATCCGACCGTTAAAATTATTATAACCATCATACCACACCATTAAATTATTTTCTTTATTTCGATTAAACGTCGCGCTCTTTTTTTTATTTTTTTACTTTTCTTATTTGTCCCCAGCTATATCAGATTTTTTTTTTACTTGAACTTGTATCCTCGTTTCTCTTTTTAAGAACGGATCAGCGGAACGAGATTCCTCGATCGGATTTTCATGTAAATGGCCGGACGTCTTCGTGAAAAGACGATATCATATATCTTACTACTTGTGTATAAGGATTTAAGTATTCAAGAATTAAACGATTCATCGATTATTTCTGAATGTCGGAATCCCAAGACTTCCCGATCCCGGGCGTCCGAATCCAAGGATCCGAGAGAACCCGACGTTCCCGAAGATCCGTGAATCGACGTCCCGGGGATCTCTCCGGCTTGGAGAAGTCCGAACATCCAGGGATCGAACGATCCGCGAATCTAGGGATCCGGGGGACACCGGCATTCGGGGAATCCATGCGTCCGAGGATCGATGGAATCCGCGAATACGTCCGCCCGTGATCCGGCGACGAGATTGGAGTCTGAAAAAGTGTCGTGTGTATTTCGTAGTCTCATGATGAGTTCATTTAGTAAGTACTTACGATGCCCTATACGACATGCAGAGTCCAATAGAGACATGCAAAGCACCACAGAATAACATCATTGAGTCAATATAAAAGTAGTATAAACACATGTACACAATTGATCAAGAAAAAAAAAGGAATAAAAAAAAAAGAAATACAAGAAGATCTCGCTCGACGGTACGAGGAGTACAAAGAAGGGGGATCACGAGACTCTCTTTATCTTGGAGCACGCGCGACTCCTCTCGAGAAGAGGAATCGATTCCACTCGTTTCTCCCGAGGACGTGAAACAGTTTGAGGTGCACGTTCTCCCCCGTCAGTGAAAAACGATTTGATCGCGCGCTGCCGCTGTTTTCCTTTTTCTTTTTTTTTTTTTTTTTTTTATCCTCTTTACCGCTATCGTCCATATTCGGGAATTAATATCGCTTGTAAATTGATCGAACGACCGTAGAAAGCGAGCCATTTCGCCCGCTGCACGGCGAGCCGCGCAGGTTTAATTAGTCACTGATCACAACGATCAGTCATTTGCAACTGCGATTAATCGGGCGATTTATTCAGCGGTCGAATTGCTCCGTCGTGCTCGTCGTGAACGCGACGGCGCGATTTTTCGATGGAGGGTCCTCCGGCGTATTGTAAATTACAAGTCGAGATTATCAGGAGGTAATTAATAGAGGGACGCGCCGCGCGGAAATTTAGTGCGCTCAATGCGCCCGGACGGGCAATTACGATAAACGTCATTTCGCATGAAAACGACGGTATCGCTATGCCGCCACCGAGTTATCATCGTGAGTAATGGCAAGACGACGGCGCCGCGAGCTCTGCATTTCGCGTCGCGGAAAATTTCGTCTCACGCCCGCGGCTCGCGTCCCCTAATTGTAATCTATGGTGCCCCCGAGAGTTTCTATCGAGAAGTCCACTCTCTCTCTCTCTTTCTCGGACGTTCGTAATTATAACATCCTCTTTCAGCCGGAGAGACCGAGGGAGTTTGAGCTAGCTAGACAAAAAAAAAAAAAACATATTTTCGTAGATCGCTCGATCGTTTGGGGATCATCGAGCGAATTCCCAAAGTGATCCCGACGAAGGGACGGCCGCCGGTATAGCGGGCCCCCGAATATCCCGAGCACGCTCTGCATTTAATTCCATAGTTAGACTATGCATTAATTGTAATTGCGGGTGCCCTAAGGGAGACGTATACGAGCGGCGGGAGTTGTTTCCTCAAGGAATTTAGCGTCGACTTTTCTTTAGCGAGAATTTAATTCAAGAGCGCTTACCGCGCGAGCGCTCTTTAATTTTCATTTTCCCGAAGAGCCCGGGAATTAAGTCCGAGATTATGCGTTCGCTAAAGAAAAATGGACTGAAAGTTGCCCGGGAGATAATATTCCCACGGCCGCGATACGCATCTCTCCCGGGGGAGGGGGGAGGGCGTCCTGTAACGTACAGCGATAGATTAGGCGTGATGAGATGATTTCAAAAAGGGAGAATGAATGATAACAGCGTTCATGATCGAATGCACTGATAAAATATGTCACGTGAGATCGTGGCTATGCCGTTATGTGAATGTCGCGAGGGCCGTATCATGATCTGTGAGAATCATGGGAAACGCGGTTTCCCCAAGTTTATACCTTTTACCCACGCGCGCGCGCACACACACGTCCGAGAAAGTTTTGCTCCGCTCCGCTTATAAATCTTCAGTATCGCATGCGACGAAGTAAGCGAGGCGTAAGTAATCTGTCTATAAATAACGGTGAAAGATCTCCGGGCTTTTTTCTCCCGGTGCCTTTGTATCTCCGCGGATTCTGAGCTCTCCCACACTCCACGGAGATACTCCTGCATCTTCGTATCCAATGAGATCCTTAGATCTCGCATAAGGAGTTTTGCATTTTTGGAAATCTCGTCGCGCTACAGACGAGATAAACGCTCGAGCTGAACCGCGCCCGCCCTCGACTATCTCGCGTCCGAATTCATAATTTTCTTTTTTTTTCTTTTTTACTTTCGCCTCCCTCCGACGTCTTCCGAGAGGAAGACAACGCAAAAAATTCTCGATCGACGTGTGTATACGTCGCGTTTCTCGGTGCTCTCGTCCTCGACGGCATGCGGCATTCATAAGGACTAAACAATCAACGACAGCGGTGCAACGTGCAGTGCGTACTATCGCTAAACACCGACTCTGATTTACAAGGAAGATCTCACTCCGAACGTGATGAACGTTTCGCCGTAAAAGCACGCGTTGCAGCCATCATAACTGCGAAACTGCTTTCAGCGTCGCGAACGTGCATCGTATGATCGTGCGCGGAGTGTCGGATAATACACTTTGAAAATGAAATTTTTTACGACGCATCCAAGCACTAACTTCTTAGGCGGCGAGAGAAAAACACTCTCGGCCGAACGACGACGACGAGGGCCGAGATGCGAGATCAGCTTCGTTTCGCGCAAGGAAGCCTCGATATCTCTCGCCTTTCTAAAAATTGCGGCTATTTATAAAGCGCAACAACAACATCATGACATGAATGACGGTCTCTTTCAGCGAAACAAACATTATTCGATTTTCGCGAATACAAAATATTCAGCTTTGTACATGAAGCGTAATGATAATTTGTAATAAAGGCGATTAGCTCTCGAGCGCGTTTGTGTGTTTGCTATATGAATCTTCCTTGCAAGATGAAAAGTGCATTCCTCTAGACGGCAGCTAGTAGTAATTCGTAGTACGAGCGCTGTTTCCAAGTCATCCGTCAGAGCATGACTCGACATCTCGTCTCTGAGCTTCCTGAGCACTCGCTGCTTCCCCTTTAACTTCCATTTAGCCTCGGTTACGCAGCCTCGAAAAAAAATTCACTCTAAACTCGTTTTTGTCTACACGATAAAGAAGCGATCTATAAACGATAATCCCGCGATCTTATCGAACGTGAAAGGGAGAGACAAGGGAAGCCCGGCGTGCGGAGATCGTACGAAAAAACGCCAGGAGGCCCCGCGAAATTCAATCTTCATCAGGAAAGCCATTACAACCAACGGGAAACGAAATTCCACTCGTAAATCCTTTATCGTCGCCGCAACGCGGCGGACGGAAGAGATCTTCCCTAAATCCCACTCGATCTCGCGTTAGAAATCCGAACTCGATATATCACGGCAGCCTTCGTACATTATTAGACACGCTCGGGGTCAGTGGCGGTTTGGCGGTTACATCGATTTACGGGATCCAATCGCTCGCTCGCTCGCTCATGGTGCTTCTTGTCAAACCCTCGTGGAATAACGTTGTGACGGCGTAACGTCGTAACGTCGAGCTAGAAATTTACGCGTCGCATTCAGAGTCGCGGAAGAGGATGCCGGACGGGCGTTTAAGTTCGCTTTTAAGTGTCTCGTAAAAGCCGCCCACGGACACGCGGACTACATCGGCTACGTTACTCTTTACTAGTCAACCAAATGACTGTATTATGGCTTGATAGTCGCAGTTATGTCCGCAAGATACACTCGAGTTGCACCCCACGACGGAACGTCGTATCCACCCCCGAGCATCGCGGCATCGCAACGCGTTTTACGACGCGCTTCCTCCTCCCCGCGTGCGCGTCGCGATTCTCCTTACAACTTTCGGTCGTTTTATCGCGTCGCAAACGGAAAGTTTGAGATCATTTCTATTTTGATCAGGCTACCGTAAAAAGCTGCCTGGTCTCTCGGTTCAAAGTAACGGTAACATCGATCGAAAGTCACGCAACTCGTGTAAAACCCAATTTTATCTATCGAGAGAGATAACAATAAAATTCCGGAAAAATTTTTCCGTTACATTCTAGTGTTAAGTAGACATTTTTTTTTTATCGAAACGCATTCAAGTACCATACACGGGGATGATATTTAAAAACAATGAAAGGCCGTCAGATAACGAAGGATAATCGCTCGAGATTCGATGAACTAAAGATTTACATGGCGTTTTATCGAAAGTGACTAATGCGTCACGCCTTGTAAGCTTTTCCTAGGATAAAAATAGCCTTTTAAAGCTGGCGGATACGGGCGCTTTATGTCAGCGTTTGCATTTTCCAGATTATTAACGCGTCATTAGTGTCGGTGTACATTGTTCCGTGCGACACTGGGAACATGCATTTGCGATAAAAACGACCGCGAGCTCTAGATTGGCCGTGTGATTGATCGTGAATAAAGTTATTAATGACGCCGCCGATTGTCGATCGTTTTATGTCACTAAAGCACGACGTGTTATTCTGTTTAACAAGCATCCCAATTTAATTGCACGTTTGCACTACCGGTCGCATAAATTCCGATTTTTGGGTGCAAAATCGCTGCGGAGAATTTCAAATTTACTGCCTCACTTTTTCTCCCTCCAGCAAACTATTTTATCGTTATGTCATATTCTTTATGAAATATATTCTTTATGAAGCTTCACGAAGTATCGTCATTTATGTTTATCGTCTATTTCTTCTTTTTTTTTCTCCACTTATCAATTTTTATTGTAAATTATTTCTATACAGAATTAATCTCTTCTATTCTTCGTTCACTTTATTCAATTTAATTTTATGCTTATATTTTTAGGTAGCTCGCTCTAGAACATTAAATGCTTTACTTAACTCTGTGTGCGTTTCCAAAAGTTAAGAGAGAATAATAATTAAAAATGAAATAGATATTTTACAATAAATATTTCTGGCCATTCGATTCGAATATCAATTTGCATGACTTTTCTTCCGCGTTTGTCAAATATTCAAGCGAGAATAATCCGGTGATATTTAAAAAGTCCGGATAGATATCATAGCGATGCCGCTTCCGTCACGAGGAGACACGGAGAAAACGCCCCGGAACTCCTCGCGAACTTTCTTCGACCGGACGCCTTTCTTCCGAGATAAAGCCACTGTCGACAAGCGGCTACAAGAAGGCAAGCGCGTTCGCATTCCCTCTCTCGATGAGGTACGATTCTCTCGAGGCGGGACGCTAAAATTTACGACGCTTGTTTGGTGCGAGCGAGCGAGCGAGCGAGCGTCTCGTCTCGTCTCGTCTTCGCCGCGCCTCCCTTGGAAAACTCACCGAGAAAGGGAGGAAGAGAGAAAGGGAGAGCTTTCTCCGCGGACTTTTTTTCGTCTCTCGCGGCATATTTCATTTCCCCGAGACTTCCCGTTTTCTTCTTTGCGCGCCGCGTCGGAACCCGGGCTTCCTTTCCTTAGGATTGTAAATGGCGAACGACCGCGCTGAGTAATGAATCCAGAAGGATCCTTGTTTCGGGCGGCGGACAATCACTCTCAGCTCCGAAACGCGGGAAAGGGAGGGGGTAAACGAGGTAAACTTTAGAAATCTCGAAACACGAGAACGCGCGAAAGCCGGGACGGCGATCCGCAACCCTTCCCGAGCGCGAACCGAGGATTCTCCGGATTCTGCGGAAGCCCAAGCCGGAGTGTCCGACGAATGGAACCCTACCTGAATCAACAATTTTAACCCCGTAACGTCACGCGACACTCTTCTTTTTTCCTCCTGTTCCTATGCAATGGTGAACTCGGATTCTTCGTCGACGCGACGAGAATTACAGCAGACATGCACGTTCCGTGTCGTGTACGTACCTACGTACGTACGTGTGTATGTATGCGTGTGTGTCCGTGTGTCCGTACATCTATTTATGCATCCAGACTATATCTTCGTTAACGCATATACATAACAGTCTATCAGGCATGCGTTTCCATTTAGTCGAAACTAAATCGGACGTTCTTTCTCCGCGAGGCTCGCAGCGTGCGTGCGTCTCGAGTGCAACCGAGTGTGAAGCGCGATTTTCTCCCTTTTGGATCTTCGATCAAGAGGAGGAGAAGAGGAGGAAGGGGGAGAAGGGAGAGGTCGAGAGGTTGGATACATTTTGGAGTGATAGTTCGCAAGAATATCTCGCGGTCGATACGCGATACGCCCATAATGGCGGCTTTTATCTATTAATCGTATCGGATAAAAAATTCTTCTGTGAGAGATAAACTATTTATAATCTCGAACATTATCCGTCGTTCATATTTTATGTTGTAATAAAACGTTGGATTATTAAAAATAAATATCTCTGTAATATTCACTCTACGGAACGTCGCGTAAGTCGCGCGCTTTATCTGATTAAAAAATGGCGCTGATTACAATATCGATCAACGTTTTTATAATAAAAATTGCATCGAATACAGCTTTGCTCACTGTTTAATTCTCAATATCGTATATCAATAATTAAGCTACGAGTTTAAAATTCTATGAAATAATAGCAATTATTTAAATATCAAAATTTAATTTGTCGTTTCTCATATCTGCAATTAAATTATATTGAATCTTATTAATAACGTCTCAAAATAACTATTTTTTTATTGATTTCTTAATATTTGCGATTCTCGGAGAACCTGCAATTTTTGATTCTGTCTATTAAACTGTAATATTAACTGTAATATTTTATCCCAATTAGAAATCGTTGAGAAACGTTTGTCAAAACCGTATTGCCTTATTCTCGAGCTTGTACTATCGCGCATTTCACTCACGTTCTAAAACTTGTACACGAGTAACTTGCGGACGTTAACCCAAGTTATTAGTCCACCAAACTGCACGTAAAAAGGTTACGATTGAGCGATTGTCCGCGTGTAATTTCAATATATCGTGTGATGAAGTCAACTAAATTCGATTTTTGGTTCGACGACAAAACTGAAGTCTCATTTCCGGAGAAAACGGATTCTCCAAAAAATTCACCACTACTAAGTCATTTATAATAAATTTAGAAACTAATTGTATGACAATAAATTTTGAAGAACATTAAGATGATATAAAAGTGGAGATTTTATATGAAATATTAAAATGATATAAAAATTTCTCATCTTTTTGTTATTTTACAATTTTATTAGTTCTTCGAATTGATCGACATGCGGGAGAGAAGGAATTTTGAAAAATCCATTCTGCGAAAATATATAAAAGTATAAACATTTGCATTAAAAGGTTTGATAATGCGCGGCTATATAGATAAACTCACTTAATGACTTTAAAAGAAAAAAAATCTCGATACCTACTTTAATTTACTTTACCCCTTTAGATTATTTCAAGAGTTTCAAATTAAATTAAATCTGTCCAAAGATTTTAATATTGATAACAAACTTTTAAAGTATTAAAAATAACTAAATATTCACAGTCACAGATATCTAAATGTTTGTTAAAGAGTTAAATATTTTTTTTCTAAATATCTTCATTCTTGGAGTAAATTTCCCTGTAGAGACTTCTGAGAATCTCATCATCAGAATATAGTGGTAGTCGAGGGTTCAACGCCCTGATTTTCTGAATCGTTAATCGGCCGGCGCAGAGTTGCGCCATGAAAAAAACCGGGGGATGGAAAGGGGCCCCGCTTTGATTTGCATCGTAAATAGCGGTGGATAAACAGTCCCGGGGAAAAGGGCCTCAAAAATCGCGCTGGACGGCATATAGTGGTGTCGTGCAAAAAAAAAAAATGGGGCAAAAAATGCACGGTTTTTTTTTTTTACCGGGCGCGTCAAGCGTTAGGAGGGAGAGGTGTGGAGCGGGCTAAGGGTAGAAAGGGTGCTGAAAAGAGAGGCAATAGGACGCATAAAAAACACACCGACTACAAATGCAAAGTCAGCGGCCGCTCTACGCTCGCGAGTGCGTGCGCGTGCGCGCGTGTACGCAGGCATGTGCGCGCGCGCGCGCGCGCGCGCGTTGTTGCGTTCTTCTCTCGTCTTCCTCTTTTTTTTCTTTTTTCCCTTCTCCCTTTCAGTTTTCCGCGTTCGCACGCTCGTCCTTTACGAGAGCACACACACACACGCACACGCGCATGTCTCCGACGTTCTTCGCTCGTGCTGCTCTACTGGCGTACGATGTACGACGCGGACGCGGAAAAGGCGCGCATTAAGCTACGCACGGTGGTACGTAGTTTGCATAGCTTGGCGACGTCGTGTAATGCGCGCCGGTGTCCGCATTTATGGGCGACGTTGCTCGCGAAACGCGGATCGATGGGATGTGAAAGGTGGCTCTTCCTTTTTCGCAGAGATACGCGCATGGCAAAAAGTTTCGGCGACGTCATCCCCCGCCCAGGGGATGAGCCACGGAGCTTTCGTACGACGAGCCAAGATAGCAACATCCCCAGGATCCGTTCTCCATCTCCCCTGCGAGTTAATACCTTTCTCGTTATATCGATCTTGTCAACGTGCCGCGCAAATAAAAATCGGACATCGGCGCGCAATGAAGGTAACGACGATGAGCGGAATGAGAAGATATGGCGACGCACGCGAGAAGAGGCAGATGAAGTAAACGAAATCATTAAGAAGACATGAAATGCTTGTGGAGATAGAGAAAGAGAAATAGAGAAATATCGAAAGAGATAGACAACGAAAGGTGATGGAAGAAAAGCACAAAATATTATAAAAATAGAATGTATTGCGAGAAACGAAAGAGATCGAGAGCGTAGAACGAATGAGCTGTGTGTGATTGGACGTGTGGATGATGTATGTAATGTGTACATGTATATGTATCACCACAAAGTAATAAATATAAAATTTGAGATATGGACTAATTTATACGTTTACTTTCCATTTCACTTTTATCCACATTATTTTCAATTAATATACCGCCATAAAAAGTGCCAATGTATCCTTTTCGTATGAGACTTCAAGAAGCAAACTTTTGGTCAAAGAGCTCCTTGAAGCGCAAATACGCGACTTATTAATAAACTAAATTTGCAATGTAGATCTTTTTTCAGAGAAACATTCTGCATAATTATGGTGACACACACGTTAATGCGACGGCGATTCGAATGAATGTTCTTCAGAGCGGTAGAAAGATAGATAAAGGCGGAAATAGAAAATCTAGAGAAAAAGGCGGTGGCGAATACCTTGAAGGACTGCACAGAGAAACCGGAAACCAGGGTCGGTCCATAACATAAGAAGCGAACAGAAAACAGAAAAAAGGTAAAATTGTAATTAGGTTGTTCGCTGTAAGAGACACACTGTAAGCGTTTCGCATGTAATTTCCTGCCGAGAGGGTGGGCTGGGCGTGAGAGAACTTGAGCAAGAGGGGCGGGGGGCGGGGGGCGAGGGTGGATAGAGTCTTATCGTGTCTTTCTGTTGATCGATGGATCCAACGTGTGCTACCGGGTGCTGGAAGAATTTATGCTACAGGATGACACAAATGTCGCATAATGCATTAAAGCAACTCGGGAGGGAAGTACGAGTCCGCAATCTAATATTCAAACATTCAATAACACCGCATTAAAAGCGTTTCAATGTTAATGCTTCAATGGAATTATGTAACACTTCGCGATCATCCTGCAAGTTAGAAGGATATAGGTAAGTCGTTCTATATACAAAAGTAATGAGGCCGTACAATCGAGAGAAACCCGTTCGAATTGCGAGACGCCATTTAATTTTTCAACGCTGATTCGAGTTCGATCTCGAGGCGATATTTAATATCGCCGGAATTCCGAGGCGAAAGGATTTAAATTCCGTCAGGTTGATCGATTGAAATTTACTTGATAAAATTTCTTCGATAATCGCGGCGTGACGCGACCATTCTCGGCCTCGCTCTCGAAATAGAACACCACCCTCGACGACGAGGGCTCGTCGCTTCGGACAGACGAGTTTTATTATTAGCGCCGCGGCGAGAGCGCGACGCGCTGATGTTAACTTATTATTATTGAATGGCCTAGTAGCCAATTAACTCGCAACGCGCACTGCCGTTTCGCGCATACATGACACGCAAATATTTACCACGCAATTTCTCTCGGGTGTACGGCCGCAAGTACCGACGTAATTTCGAGTAAATGCGCGCGACTAGGTCGCCAGACATTGTCGTTACCGTATTACTCGGCAACGATTATGTCATACGATTGCAGTCGAAATGCGGACACGACAAACTCGTCGCTAATTAGCGACTGCCCGTACTTAATTACGCCGGCACGAATGTACCATCGCATATTTTCCACGGGTTGCGCGGAGAGGTCCCTCTCTGATTTTCGGCTGCCGGCTCGAGGCGGAAGAGCAACGCGGAAAAGAAAAATAATGCGTGTCAGATAAGCGTCGTGATCCCCGCGCGATGCAGGAATTTTAAGGTTTCCATACCGACTAATCGATCCCGAAGCTCGCGAAGAGACGAACGCAATCGCGTAACCTGTGGAATGCGAAATATGAGTATAGGAAGAGCGGTATCGAGAGATGAGAGTAGAGTATACGGTAAAAGTGCGATCTCTCCGCAGATGGTTGAGTACCAATCGTAAGGCGTATCTTCAGATGTTTTAGAGCTCTCGTAAAATCGAATCGCAGCTTATACAGTCTACTGCAGTGATAGTAAAATACAGGCGCGGTTTATTTGCATATATCAAATATGAAAAGTGGAACATCGAGGTCTTGTTTCCTCTCCGCCGAAGAAATAAAAGTCGTGCACACGATTGTGCTCTCGTAACTGACATCGGAATATTCTGGAAATGTTATTTAAATGTTACTTCCTAATCGGATATTCCGTGATTAATAATTCGGCGGCTTCATGGATGTAAAACATGTTCAAGGGACGCGGAAGGGAGGGGAGGGTGGAACTCCGGTCGACTCCGGCTGACGTCGACGACGCGAAATTACACGTCGATTTCTAATTTCTGCCGAAGACAGAATTCGCGCCGGCCGTCACGTCGCGTCGGTACGGGCAAAATTCCGCTCGAGTGAGCGGCTGTCTATTTTGGTCGCGATGAACCGATAATTAATTACGACACGAGGACCCGGAAAACGCGAAAATGTCAACTGGTCGGTCGGCTGCGCCGCGATTGTCATGGCCGCGCGTAGACACGTTCTCAGCGGCGCGCATCTCGCGTGTCAGATGCACCATACGCTGCATATAATATGCGCACACAGGATATATGTCCCGGTTTAACTTTTCAAGGGAATTACGCGTGAAACGCGCGCTACGACGACGGCGGTGTTATCCCATTTGAAATGCGAGAAGGTTTCCGGAGATGCATCGCTACTCGGTGCGATTCCACCGGTACGGTTTAAATCCATCGGGGGCTTGGTAATGCAGGACTGAGTGAGGTTTCGACTATTCAAGAGTATTAAAAACCATCCAACAAGTATCAAAAACAATTTCGAAAAAATCTCTCGTGGCCAAAAGATTTTGTTTGTTCTTCTGATTATGCTTCAATAAAAAGTTACGTTCTTCTTTTTTTTTTTTTTATAAGATTTTCGTTGTTTGCAACTCGTATTATTTCTGACGGAATAAATTTTGTCGAATCAAATTTCCGCTTCTTGCGCGCGCGATGTGCTTCATTTCCATTAGAAACGCTATTTTCTATGCCGATGAGCGGTCAATTAGCGGACAATTCGCAAATGTCGATTTTCGCTCCTCGCATCGATCGCTCAGCATCGTTTGACTTTTAGTTCTCTCGTCGTGAAATGGCGCGGAACATAGGCACGTGCGCGATATATACGACCGATGTAATTCGATTTCGAGCGCGGTCGAATTAAACAATAATACGTTAAAGGATCGCTTGTACCGACGCGCGTTGTATCGAGCACGCGACGATTTTTACGTTATTTTTTTTTTTTTGCCGATCTCTCATCAGAGACGGTCACGTCGAAAGTAGAATCGATGGCTCTTGTCCGCGTCAAAATACCATTCTGAAATTTCGGACAAATATTTTGCCATTTTTTTCGAGGGAAAAAAAAACGAGAAACATTCTCCGCCACGTGAAATCAATATTTTCTTCGTTTTCGCAATATAACATGATTTTTGTTCACTTTGTGTCAACAGATTTTTTGTTACATGTTTGCGCGCAGTAACGGTTATCTAAAAAGTTTGCATAACACGATAAAACCTCCACCGCATCGATTATTCGATTTCGCATTATCTTCCAGATATTAGCCGCACGCGGAACGTAATCGCAAATCGCGATGTTCGATGTTCTCGGTGTGTCAAAGGGTACGAGAGGAGAACGATGATAAATGCTTAAAAAAATACGCGGCGTTCAGTCGCGCGCGACGATACGCGCGTTTTGATCTGCGACACGGCCAAATCAAATAATAACCGCGCAACGGGCCGGGAATCGTTTATGTTCACACCTGACTGTCATCAAGCCCGATCAATTTTCCATTACTTTCCCTCTCGTCAAATAGAGCTTTGTGGTCCATTTCGACGATCGGCGCTTCATTCGCGAAAATCTCCCGTACCGCGCGCCGAGATGTATTGCCCGGATTTTTTATTACGTTCACGATTTTTTATTACGCTCAACATCACCAAAATGTCGCATGCATTTTATGGCCACATTAATTTCTTTTTTATCGCTTTGACGAAACACATGACACTATTACGCGCTTGCCCATTGACGCTGCATTTATTGGTCTTAATTCCACGGTCCCACATTTTACTCGCGAGACAAGGATAAATGTTCGCAATTTTGTTACAGATAATTATCTCTCGCGGAGATTAGAAAAGTAATTTCGCGACTTGCAAAAATCGCTTGCTCGTAAAGAAACTTTGCGATATTATTACGTGCGTTTTACATTCTCAAAGTAGAGCTAGTAAATGTTAGCAAATACAAAAAAAACTAGCTTGCTTTATCATATCGTTATTTTCACATTTCGGGTTCAATGTTAAGCGTTTATTTGCTATTTTTATTGCGCGGGAAGGACAAGCGCGCTCGTAATTTTCTTTTTACAGAAAATTATATACACGTTTCACGCGGAGATTAGAAAAATAATCCTGCGATTCAAGAGAGCCGTTTCGTCGTGCGGAATAATTTCACGTTGCCACGCGTATGTTACGATCTCAGACGGAGGGTGTGAGATTGCACGGAGGATTACGAAACGAATACACCGTCCGTTTCAGCGAATTTTCCGCTAGATCTTGCTGAGACTGCGAGTCCCGCTGAATTTATACGCGGTAAGTGACCGAAATGGCCATGCGAGTTCCAAGTATATTCCGTGTCTCCCTGTCGATCCGTTATTATTCACGGAACGGAGAAATCGCCACTTTCTTGGCGAATTTTCCGATTTGGGAAATTCGACATCTGCGCGACCCACTTTCGCGGCAGTCATTGACGAAGCAATTTGACGAGCTGGCAGGCCGGGGGGCATTACAGGAATGAAACACTTAACGGAATGTCAGGCATAACGGATAATCGATAACGCTACGACGATAACGCGGTTACGGCCACGACATAGACTTCGATTCCGCCACGACGGAATATTTCGCAAGCGCGAAATGCGAGCGATTATGCTCGGTGGAACATCGGTTATTCCAGCGGCTGTCGAAGGACGAAGGAATTCATGGATTCGAAAACGTGACCATTCGCGAGTTACTCGATATCTCAGATTCTCTTAAATTCGTAAAAAATTCAACCGACTCTTCGGTTATATCCAAGATTATATTTCTCTCCCTTCGGATTTCCAATTCGAATATTAGGTACTTCACGTAATAAAATTCTTCCCACGCACCGATTTCCGTCATTACATTTATGAATCGGCACGTCAGCTTTAAGACGGTTATTTTTCTCGCGGCATCTCCTACGCGGTAAAGGCAACTTTCTCTCTCTCTCTCTCTCTCTCTCTCTCTCTCTCTACTATTCCAATGAAACTTTCTTTCCCGACATGCGCGAGCTGCACGATTCGATTTTAGCTCATTCTTAATTCTCACTCCCCGCTTATCCTCGACGTTAAAGCCAAGTTACAGCTACGTAGTAGCTTTTGCTCGATGGTTACGCTCGTTTACTGCAAACTAAACTGATCCCGTGCGCTAACTGTGTGCGCAACCACGGGAGCGCAATAATTCAATGAGCAAGTACGGGTACCTGAGTCTCAATGTAAGCGAGTAAGTAGGCCGTTTTGAAGTGGATCGTTGTACCGGAAAGCCATAATGAAACCG